TGGGGATAGGGATAGGGATAGGGTTAGGGATTGGGATAGGGATAGGGATAGGGATAGGTTAGGGATGGGGGATAGGGTTAATGATAGGGATAGGGATGGGGATAGGGTTAGGGCTAGGGGATAGGGCTAGGGATAGGGATAGGGATAGGGTTAGGGATGGGGATAGGGTTAGGGATAGGGATAGGGATAGGGATAGGGATAGGGATAGGGTTAGGGTTAGGGATGGGGATAGGGTTAGGGATAGGGATAGGGATAGGGATATTGTTAGGGATGGGGATAGGGATAGGGATAGGGATAGGGTTAGGGATAGGGATAGGGATAGGGATAGGGTTAGGGATGGGGATAGGGATGGGGATAGGGTTAGGGATGGGGATAGGGTTAGGGATAGGGTTAGGGATGGGGATAGGGATAGGGATAGGGATAGGGATGGGGATAGGGATAGGAATAGGGATAGGGATAGGGATAGGGATAGGGATAGGGATAGGGATAGGGATAGGGAAGTTTAAAATCTGACGTCTTGCACTAAAACAGTCCTTGTTTTCACCGTAAGTTGCGAAAAAAAAATATTGGAAAACGATACCAATGTCGTAAAATGCTAAAATCAAACGATAAAGACCTTTATGACCACGTAGATTTCATGTTGAAATCAACTTTTTTTTTTTGTCCTAAACATTTTTTATTCGCACGCTCGCATGAGTTTTGGGGTTCCAAGGGATGCCATCCATTTAAGGCCGCACAACACAGTATTCATGGGCGAACCCCGTAGTCAAAAGTAGTCCGGGCACAAAGTAGTGCTGCACAATACTAGGGAAGGGTGCAGAGATTGTTTTGTGCATGGCATCGAGACAGAACCTGTGGTAAATGTTAGAGGAATACGTCAGTTTTGAGACTGTAAAAGTTGGATTATGGTGCGTGTTGAGTCGGCGTAGATTTGCGCTTGGATACTTGTCCCGCCTAGTACTGTGCGTCGGCTGCAGTTCCATGACCTCCGCAGTGGCGCTAATAAAAGAGGGCGCGAGAAGAGAACTAGCCGGCAAATTCAAGCTCATTTTCACATATTTTGTACACTCTACCCTGAAATTAAACATATCAGAATTCTGAACCTTGCTTGTGCACCCTAGTATGATTTTCCGTGAGTCGAAGTGAGTCACTTTGGGGTCCTTATATTACCAGATAAACATTGTCTTTCGATAGTCTGTTGTAAAAGCGCCCCTCACGACGTTTGTAAGCATTGCAAATCTTGCTCCGATAGCCTTGTAAAAGCGACCTCTAGAGGGCTCAATCAGTACTGCAGGTATATCAGTGCTCTCCAAGCAAAGCAGACGGCACAGACTGTCAACGTTCTGGATTTGTCTGATATCACTGGTTTTGCCAACTGAAAGCGAATTTGTTTAGAAATGTATTAACGTTACCTTTAGTCTGCAAATAAATATTCAAAACTTTCCTGCTACGTTAGAGAGAGCCAGAGAAATGAAATACACTTGCATCGAGTGTGGGAGGGGGGCAGAAGAGCTGTACAGAGACTTCGGAGGCGGCAATTTGAAAATCTCCCACTGCGTAAGTACAAGAGAGTTAATGTACTGACTTTTCGTATCTTAAGTGTTGTGAATTACTTTACACAACTGATAAGTATTGAGCTAGTGCCGGTATGATCATGACACTGAACTACTAGATGCACAACCCGGAAGTACTGCTGTTGCACAACATAACAACTTTAGGACCACTGGTAGCTAGTGTATAAGTAACATAATATGTTTTATGTTCTGTTATATATGTGTTATGTTGTAATGTTATAGTAGATGTAAGGATCCAGCTCATTCTCATTGTTTACACATTTTCCCCCAAAATTTTCTACATTTGTAACAGTGGAGGTTTTTTAACCTCCTTGATTCTTCTTGTATTGCAACTTTTTAACTGTTCAACTTCTAAGGGAGCCCAACTTGTAAGCAGCCTAAGAATAACTTTGGTACTTAAATGTTTTCTGTCCCCAGGACCACTGTGAGCAGGTGGTGGATAAGTATGTTGAGTTTGACCCTGTCCTGGTGTTACTGGACGCTCTTCTACACAAACCACAGGCCTACAGACACATCCTACTCAACAGTGGGATACAGGTACACAGAGTTATAAATATATCATGTTCTGTTGAAACCTGACCTGACCTAGCGATCAATTTAGCCATTTGATACCGGGTATTTTAGTAAAAGAGATCTTGATCATTACTGTTGAGGCTCAGATCACATTTCTTCTTCTTCTTCCTTTAATGCCCATGATCATGATAATGAAGCTGTGTAAAGTGACATTGCCAAGGGCACAATATCGGTGACATGCATGGCAGGATTCAAACCCGGGACCTCTGGGTTCTGAGCCGAATGTTCTGCCATTATGCCACATGACCTCACACATTTGAATGATATATGTAACATATATTCCTGACAGTTATGAACTTCCCTCCCCACAGTTCCACTGGAGACTGGCCATCATCTGTCTCCTGTGTGATGCTTACATCAAGTGGGCTCACCTGAAGTCAGCCGACACCACCGACACACAACAGCACATGGGCTTCTACGCACTGGAGTGGGACTTCTACCTCATGTTCCTCCTGGCAATGATAGGTCAGTTTCAGGGGTTTCTATAATAATAGCCTGGGGGCCAGTGTCGTTTGTTTGTTTTATTGGGATCTCAATTGGTGTTGTTAGCTTTATTGCCATCAGAAGGAGCAGGCTGAAGCTAAGATTCAAGCCAGGGTAAGAGCCCCCGCTGCCTGTGGCCCACGAGTATTGTACTTGTTTGCAATTCTAATAAATCAAATCAAAATCAGGGTATGAGTTCCCCCCCGCCCCAGTATTTGTCAGTCTATTGAGGGAATCTTGTTGCCATTGAGTGACTAATATTATAGCCGTTCTATCAACCAAAAGAATAGGCACAACTGCTATAATTTCAAGTACTACATGTATGTATCATTTGAATGATTTCAGACAAGATGAGGAGCATGAGTTTACATAATTGGATCAAATCAAGGCTTGAAAAAAATGCATGTATGTCTCATACTTGAACAACCACGTGTCGGAAAGTGCATGTCAGAAAAGCAGGTAGATGTCTATTATACATCTTCAACCTTCCCTTCCAGAGTTGGCAGTGTTCCTTGGGTGCTGTATGTTGCTGCTGCAGGTCAGCAGAAGGATTTTACCATCTAATGAAGTGAGGTAGGTCATCAGAAACCAAACAACCATAGGAGGTTTTATCCCACACATCTAGTATCATTTGAAGGTCTGCTTGACCAGTTAGAAAATGACTTGATGAAATGAAAGATAATTTAAAACTGACTACAGTAGTTTCATCAGGTTGGTAAGTCACTGAATTAAGCAACTCTTTTTACACAACTACTAGTAAGTCTTTTATTCAGCCGACATTTTGGTGACCGTCTGTCACCTTCCTCAGGACTATTCAGACTGGCTCACATTTCTGATGCTGGAAACAAATTGCCGTATTCTTTAGGTTGTATACAAAGCTAAAAGTACATTACTTCTTTTCTTAGGTTTTCTTCTGTAGTTCGTGCTCTGCTACTGTCCAGTTTTGGGAAGTTACTGGTCATTCCAGCGGTTATCTGGGGTGAGACCAACAGCACAGTGTACCTGGGCCTCACTAGACTGTTTGTCTTCACATGTAACTCACTGGCTATGAGAGGTAAGCCTCTATCAAACACTCAGCTATTTGACTTTAAAATACACTGCTCCTATTGTCATGATAGGGATGGTATCAGCACCAAGGACAGGAATGTTGGTCTGCACATGTAACTCACTGGCTATGAGAGGTAAGCTGTTCTCAAGCACTCATCTCTGTTTGACTTTAGACTGCATATTGTCATCGTGGAGATGGCATCCTTCCCATACCTTTAACAGCTGGGAACCAGAAAAATGTTAGTTATGATAGTGTTCAGCACCAAGGACAGGAATGTTTGCCTATGTGTATGTATTGTGTGTACAAACATGTATATGATCAATTATATTTTGTCAGTGCAAATGTTTCACTATATTGTACATAAAGCAGTACGAAATTTAAAACTCATGTTGCAATTTCCATTTTGTTTTTCTGACAGTTACCATGGATACCAGACAAGATGTGGCATGCGGTCTGGTTGCTACAAGCCTGCTTGTACAGTACCTCACATCCCTGTCCATCGACAAGTTATTACACATTCCAACATGATGTTATGTGCTGTTGGTTATAACTGATAAACTGATTTATTTATCCAGTAGTGGAGTTTAAATTTCCTATGAGTATTGTTTACCTGGATGTCTAACCTTCATCAACGTAACTGATAAACTGCAATGTGTGACACACCAGTTCTGTTTTACAAAGTACAATTGCAAGCTCTGTATGACAGGACTGAATGGATCTATCCACTCACATCAGGAAGGACCCCACCCTTAAAGTTATCGATAGGTGTGGTGGGTTCTTTAACAAGTTCAAGATGTGTCACAGAAAATGCACAGGACCTCCCATTTGTATACATGTAGATTACCAATCTGGACAAGTCAATAAAAACATAAATCTTTCTTCACCATCTTAAAATGTTTTATTGCATACTTTTCTTCCTTTTCTATACATGTGTCAGCCCTATCCATAGGCTTTCACCTCAACTGAAAATGCTTACAGCATTTGACAATAAAACATCGCGATTGAAAACCATTCATGTCTCAGTCATGTTGCTTGACCACCTGTCCAAGGTGACCACTTTTCTATTGTCCTTTGGGTGTTCACCTTTACTTTTATGTGACTGTACTTTCATTAATCTACAAAGTATTCTGTTATGTACAACTATATCCATCTGTTACGTACAATTATATCCATATATACATACATACATACATGATACATACATCCATCCATCCATCCATACATACATACATCCATACATACATACATACATCCATCCATCCATACATACATAGTGGCATAGCATTAATTTAACACAATAGGAAAGTATATGAATTCATTCATTCACATACTTTAAAGCCACTTTAAAGGGCATCTACGTAGCCGGAGTGTCGGTCTTCTTCGTGACACGTCTCCTCCAGAATCTTCGTCTCTTGCCTTCTGCTGCAGGGGTCTTCTTGCCTTCTGCTGCAGGGGTCTTCTTGCCTTCCACTGCAGGGGTCTTGCCTTCTGTTGCAGGGGTCTGCCTCGATGCCTTGTCCTCAGCATCATGGGTGGCAGCCTTTGTGGACTTCCTGCGCCGGAACAGGCGTCTCCAGAGCCCCCGGAAGCATCCGTAGCTCTTTGCACCAGATTTGTCTTCCAGGTCTTCCATCTTTGCAGTGTTTACTGCCACGGGGCCTAGGTCCTCCATCTTTGCAGTGGGCACTGCCACTGGGCCTAGGTCCTCCATCTTTGCAGTGGGCACTGCCACTGGGCCTAGGTCCTCCTGCTTTGCAGTGGGCACTGCCACAGGGCCCAGGTCTTCCATCTTTGCAGTGGGCACTGCCACTGGGCCTAGGTCCTCCATCTTTGCAGTGGGTACTGGCACTGGGCCTAGGTCCTCCTGCTTTGCAGTGGGCACTGCCACGGGGCCTAGGTCCTCCATCTTTGCAGTGGGTACTGGCACTGGGCCTAGGTCCTCCATCTTTGCAGTGGGCACTGCCACTGGGCCTAGGTCCTCCTGCTTTGCAGTGGGCACTGCCACTGGGCCTAGGTCCTCCATCTTTGCAGTGGGCACTGCCACGGGGCCCAGGTCTTCCATCTTTGCAGTGGGCACTGCCACGGGGCCTAGGTCTTCCTTCTTTGCAGTGGGCACTGCCACTGGGCCTAGGTCCTCCATCTTTGCAGTGGGCACTGCCACTGGGCCTAGGTCCTCCATCTTTGCAGTGGGCACTGCCACTGGGCCTAGGTCCTCCATCTTTGCAGTGGGCACTGCCACTGGGCCTAGGTCCTCCATCTTTGCAGTGGGCACTGCCACTGGGCCTAGGTCCTCCATCTTTGCAGTGGGCACTGCCACGGGGCCTAGGTCCTCCATCTTTGCAGTGGGCACTGCCACTGGGCCTAGGTCCTCCATCTTTGCAGTGGGCACTGCCACTGGGCCTAGGTCCTCCATCTTTGCAGTGGGCACTGCCACTGGGCCTAGGTCCTCCATCTTTGCAGTGGGCACTGCCACGGGGCCTAGGTCCTCCATCTTTGCAGTGGGCACTGCCACTGGGCCTAGGTCCTCCATCTTTGCAGTGGGCACTGCCACTGGGCCTAGGTCCTCCATCTTTGCAGTGGGCACTGCCACTGGGCCTAGGTCCTCCATCTTTGCAGTGGGCACTGCCACGGGGCCTAGGTCCTCCATCTTTGCAGTGGGCACTGCCACTGGGCCTAGGTCCTCCATCTTTGCAGTGGGCACTGCCACTGGGCCTAGGTCCTCCATCTTTGCAGTGGGCACTGCCACTGGGCCTAGGTCCTCCATCTTTGCAGTGGGCACTGCCACTGGGCCTAGGTCCTCCATCTTTGCAGTGGGCACTGCCACTGGGCCTAGGTCCTCCATCTTTGCAGTGGGCACTGCCACTGGGCCTAGGTCCTCCATCTTTGCAGTGGGCACTGCCACTGGGCCTAGGTCCTCCATCTTTGCAGTGGGCACTGCCACTGGGCCTAGGTCCTCCATCTTTGCAGTGGGCACTGCCACTGGGCCTAGGTCCTCCTGCTTTGCAGTGGGCACTGCCACTGGGCCTAGGTCCTCCATCTTTGCAGTGGGCACTGCCACGGGGCCCAGGTCTTCCATCTTTGCAGTGGGCACTGCCGCAGGGCCTAGGTCCTCCTGCTTTACAGTTGGCAGCAAAGCAGGAATCATTTTTTCACCTTGCTCCCCAGTCCCAATGTTTGGTGATCCAGATACGATCAAGATGTTGTTCAGAGTACCGAACACATTCATGGTCGTGGGCTGTGGTGAAAGGAAAAAAAGTTGCCATTAGTTATAAGCAAAGCACTTGTGCAAAACAGCCTTTATCTTGTGCATATGTATGCATGTGGGGGCCTATGTGTGTTAGTGTTTCACTACAACATGTACTTTTCGTCAACTTTTTCTGCAACTTTCTTTTGCCTTTTCCTAGACCTTCCACGCTTATAGTATGTTATACCTTGAAAGTTATATGTTGTCCCTAAGTAAAGTTGAATATGATTTAAATTTTGTAATACAGAGCATACTGTATCTTGTTGCCTGGAATTTCTTAGAATTCTGACACAAATATTGAACGCAGTTTTCCTTTTAGTTAATAAATATAGTAATTGAAAATGAATTAATGAATACAAAGGAAACTACACTTCAGTTTAACAAAGAATGTAACTATAAAATGCAAAGAATATTTTAAAAGAACAATGGTGTATTTACCAAGGTGGGGTCATGGAACCATACGCCGCTGCACGACCGATACTTTGACTCGTATCTCCCTGGATTAAGCTCCAGGACCACCACATACTCTTCAATACTGTCACTGCAAAGAAAGCACAGATCATCATGTGAGAGGACGTACAATGATATACATGTATCAATGCCTAAAATGCCTAAACAACAAGTGTATCTGTATCTGAGCCAGTATAACCACCATTAGGCTTAACACACCAGCTTCGCAAGCACTTGTTACACCTAACCCTTGAACATCTAACTCTAAACATACTTAGTCTAGTAGTTTATAGCTATCTAATGACAGTGCCCCTACTGTATTTGGTGACAGCGAATTCCATTCTGCAATAGTTCTAGGAAGGAAGGAATTTTTGAACACCTCAATCTATGGCTGGCATAGCTATTTCTTATTCTCTTATTCACATGATAGGCTAGGAATAGAGAGGGCTGGTATGCTCAGTCAATGGTGCCTCAATATTAACCACCCCCTGTTAACGCTGATGCTAACACGGTCTTACCTCTTGGTGACCCTCCTGCCTTTCGCCCAAGCATCCCAGCTTCCAAAGAGGAAAGTCTCCTCAGCAAGCCGACCCCTCCAGACAACTCTCACGGTCCGAGACTCCACTAAGGCGGTCTGAGGACAGAGACAGGTTTTCAATTTCAATTCTTCATTATATTCAATTCTTAATTCTATCATTACATATAGAATTTTAATGTTGCGGTACCCACTGCAAAGCAGGAAGACCTGGCCCCTGTTGCAGTACCCATGACTCTTTAACATGTTATCTTATTAATGTACCAACATGATAGAATAATAAACAGTAACTAAAAACAATACTAAATGATGCTACCAATGCTACTTTTGAAATGTTAATGTTGAATCCATCATTAAGTATGGCTTTTAATGTCATATTTTTCAAACAATTTATAGGTTGCCAAAATATACATCTACTCTATTTACCTGGGATCTGGTGTCACCATGATCTTTGGTTGAAGCTCCCAGCATCCTCGCAAGGGGGCCTTCATTCATCACAGTGTTCGACATTTTCGATTTCTCAAATGATATCCAATTCTGGAAACTATCAGAGAGTAAATCGGTAAGTGCGATACAGTGAAAATTCACTATAGGTAATTACATGTAATAACCTAGACAATATCCAACCGTCACAAAATGTGTTAGGTCTAAACGTCTGTTTGTACGAATACCTGATGTAGATAACGTTGTTCTGGAACATTTAAATATTGATGGTGGTCTGTTTTGAAGCGCTGCTGAAGCTACCAAATGTTCGGCACAGTTCTAGAACACGGTTGGTCACTCCGCGGAGTTTTTTGTCACCCTCTTTTATCCGTAAAATGTATCCTTTACTCTATTTGTCTACTAAACTGACCAATAATTTGGAAACAGGGCAATTCTTGATGTGTATATGGTGATTTAAAACAGTATTGCATGTATGGTACAGTCTTGCATTGAGTCTGTTTGCTCCAGCGTTAAGACGAAATACTAAGTTTAAACTTGTCGACAGCAAAAGCTTGCTGAAAAGTCTTGTAGACCCTTTCTGATAGAATTTCGAGCTTACTATGAAGCGTTACTCGCTTGAAATATTGCGTAGGCTACGTGCGATAGAGAAATATCATGGCCTTGACCGATTTCTACCTCTAACAATGCACGAGGAATGAAAAAAAGAACTCACCTGTCTCCGTAAACGGAAAGACGGTCCGTCGTTATCAAAAGTTACGAACGGAATGCACTCCGAGCGAAGTGCACTAGCTAATGACGTCACTGGCGTCTTTTTGTTTTATGACGTACCTTAAGAGAAATACGTCACAAAGTCGCTACTTGGAGCTCATTGGTCAATTTTTTTTACAATTTAGGGCGCTTCCAGTTTACGAATTTGCACTGAAAATTTGAAATTTGTCAGGCCATCGGAGATGGAAGCATTTCGGCAAAAAACGACACATTAAAATTGAGAGATAAGACAAGCATAGACACTTTCAATCTACTTGTCATGCTCCGACTCCATATCTGTGTACCTAGGCCAATACTAAGCTTAAAGTTGTAGACAGCAAAAACTTGCTGACAAGTCTTGTAGACCCTTTCTGATAGAATTTCGAGCAACCTTATCCAACCTTACTGGCTTAAAATATTACGTAGGCTACGTGCGATGGAGAAATATCATGGCCTTGACATATTTCTACCTCTAACAATGCACGAGGAATAACAAAAGAACTTACTTGTCTCCGTAAACGGAAAGACGTCCGTCGTTATCAAAAGTTACGAACGGAATGCGCTCCGAGCGAAATGCACTAGCTGATGACGTCAAGAGCGTCTTTTTTGTTTTATGACGTAACTTTAAAAATTGCGTCACAAAGTCGCTACTTGGAGCTCATTGGTCAGTTTTTTTTACAATATTATAGGGCGATTCCAGTTTACAAATTTGCACTGATAAGTTTGAAATTTGTCAGGCAATCGAATCGGAGATTGAAGCATTTCGCCAAAAAACGACACATTGAAATTTAGAGATAACTGCACTGTACTTTTTGTTGCGTCAAAGACGAAGCATTCGGCAGCATAGCTATCCCATGGCAGTTTAGCCGTACTGCCACGGGTTACCCTTTTTGGAGTGGGAAAATGAGTCGAAGTGAAATCTAGACACCATTTGTCATTTCCTAATTATAATGTTCATAGAGGAGTCCATATATTAACACGTTTCGGTTGAAAAATAAGTCATGAACGCTAGAGATGCTTTTGCCCGGGTACAATTGAAATAACGTTACCCTATTATTGCGTCCATTTTGAAATGCCACTGTTACACGTCTGGGTTCAGCCATGTATTTATACCAGTTTTCACACTCTTTGTATCAATGTATTATTTCAGTGCACGGTGAATGTATTATTTCAGTGTGCTATGGGTATGAGAGAAGCACAAATGGAGGCGAGCTGTTTAAGAAAATACATAATGTAGACTAATTTACAAAAAAAGGTTGAAAAACTGCAGGTTTTTTTTAACACATCGAGAATGATCCTCCCATCTTGTATCTGCTTTGAAATTAAGGTTGCTGAACCAGAGGGTTAACGTCCGTTCGGTCAGCGACCTAATTTTATTCGTGATCGTTGGCGTATGCATAAAGCATTAAGGCTGCTGGCCTCTTATTCGGTGGGTATCGTCTATCTGCAAAGCCGCCCGCCATACTGCGAAACGCATTCAAAACAGCGAGCCCGGCAGCACTCCAAAACAAATATCGGGTTGGTTGAATCGAACGACGCCCCTTTTTAGAGGTCAAGGTCCCAAAGGCTGTTCACAGTCTGCCTGGATTTCTTGCGGCGGAGGCCTGCTGTAAAGAGGAGCCCCACCCACCCCCACTGTTCGGGCCGGTCAGGCAGCAGGTGCAGGTGAGATCTATTCGTAATGGCTTTATCCTCTTCCCTTCCAGAGTTGGCGGTGTTCCTTGGGTGCTGTATGCTGCTGCTGCAGGTCAGCAGATATATTGCACCATCTCCTGAAGTGAGGTAGGTCATCAGAAACCAAAGAACCATAGGAGGTTTTATCCCAGATATTTAGTATCATTTGAAGGTCTGATTTACCAGTTTGAAAGTGACGAAGATGATTTAAAACTAAAAACATGTTAGCATATGGATAGTGTTCAGCACCAAGGACAGAAATGTTTGCCTATGTGTATATGTTTTGTGTGTATAAACATGGAAATCAACCCCTTATTCTTTGAGTTACACACAAAGCTAAAAGTACTTTTCTTAGGTTTTCTTCTGTAGTTCGTGCTCTGCTGCTGTCCAGTTTCGGGAAGTTACTGGTCATTCCAGCGGTCATCTGGGGTGAGACGAACAGCACAGTGTACCTGGGGCTCACTAGACTGTTTGTCTTCACATGTAACTCACTGGCTATGAGAGGTAAGCTGCTATCAAACACTCAGCTATTTGACTTTAAAATACACTGCTCCTATTGTCATGATAGGGATGGTATCAGCACCAAGGACAGGAATGTTTGTCTTCACGTGTAACTCAATGGCTATGAGAGGTAAGGTGCTATACTAGCAAACACTCATCTATTTGACTTTATGATGTACCTAATATCATCCTCCCCATGCCTTTAACAACTGGGGACCAGAAACATTTAAGCATATGGATAGTGTTCAGCACCAAGGACAGGAATGTTTGTCTTCATATGTAGCTAACTGGCTGAGAGGTAACCTGCTATCAAACACTCATCTCTGTGACTTAACATTGCGTATTGTCATCATGGGGATGGCATCCTTCCCATACCTTTAACAGCTGGGAACCAGAAAAGTGTTAGTTATGATAGTGTTCAGCACCAAGGACAGGAATGTTTGCCTATGTGTATATGTTTTGTGTGTAAAAACATGTATATGGTTAATTATGCTTTATCATTGCAAATTTGTTACTATATTGTACATGTATCAGCAATATATTTAAAGGTTAAAACTCATGTTGCATTTTCTTTGTTTTTCCTACAGTTACCATGGATACCAGACAAGACGTCGCATGCGGTCTGGTTGCTACAAGCCTGCTAGTACAGTACCTCACATCCCTGTCCATCCACAAGTTATTACACATTCCAACATGATGTTATGATGCTGTTGGTTATAACTGTTAAACTGATTTATTTATCCAGTAGTAGAGTTTA